CAAGGATTATCACAGGTCTAAGGAAAGGTACATCACACCAAACTCTATATAAAGAACTAGGTTGGGAATCCCTGTCTGATCGAAGGATGAACCATAAGCTAACTCAGATGTATAAAATAACTAACAATTTATCACCCACATACCTCCATGACATAATTGATCCTCTTACTCATAACCCAGAAAATGATAGGTATACTCTAAGAAATGTAAGAATGTTTAACCCACCACTATGTCGTACAGAATCCTATGCTAAAAGCTTCTTCCCAGTAATGTGCAACAAGTTCAATGGACTTGAAAATGATATAGTACATTCCCCTACTCTTAATAAATTTAAGGCCAAGGTGTATAATAAAATATGTTGTAATAATGATATCTCGGATGTATTTAAAAATTGTGAAAGCAGAAAGGATAACATAATCCTATGTCAACTGAGAAATGAGGCGAGTAACCTGAACTATGATCTATTCAAAGATCACTTGAAAGAGTCTCCATCTTGTCTGTGTGGTGATGCTTATGAAACTGCTACACATTATCTTTCACAATGTCCAATGTATACTAATGAGAGACAAACTTTAATAAATGAGATTTTTGAAGTGTGTCCGGTTAATCTTGATACTAAAACACTTCTTAATGGAAGCACTGTGTTAAACAATACTGAAAATAAATCTATACTTGATAGTGTTCTAAAATATATATACAACACAAGAAGACTTGTTTAACTAATTAAAACAATCTATAAATTTTGTTATATATAGTCATAAATGATAAAATTACTGTCCTTAAACCATTATGTGATTCTACTGATTGTTATATTTACATTGATGTTTTAATATTATACACCTAAGGGATTAAGCTTTGTAAGCTGTTTTTACTGATGGGTGCAATAAAGTAAAACATAAATGTGCTAAGTTTGAATGCTTAGTGTTCTGTGGTTTAATCTGGATTCTTCTCGAGTGGATGATATGTGAACGGTAAAGGCCGTTAGAGACTTTTTGTCTGAAACTCGATGGGATGAAAGATTTACACATAGAACACTGGCAATACATCTTACACATATACTACATTATCAAAATCTTCTAGCTGAATTGCCTCATTTTATTTTTTCATATTTTGATGTTGTTGTATCCCTTACTTTTTATCACTCCTACCAATGATATATATATTGATACTAAATGGTTCTATACTTCTAACTACTTCATGCAACAGCAGCAGGGTATGAACAGGGGGCACTAATGACTTGCAAAACAAAAAACAAAAAAACAATTGTAGCAATTTCTCTGTTTAATATATCATTAGGGCATTGCTTTCCTATTACTAATTAATTATGATTGACTTTTTAATATGAGCATTGTATAGCTAAAAATATCAATTAAATATTTATATGTAATTGAAACATACATGGAATTATCTCCCCTATACCATCTGCTATATATATATATATGTCTATGCTACCTATTATATATGATTTGCATCAATATTTTCTTACAAACCATTTCATTCATCTTTGTCTTTGTCATGTCAACCAAAGGAGAGAACTTATATAGGCCTAGCCTGCTGTTCAATCCTATTGTTTACTCAATAAAATAGGATGAAATGAAATAGGGCCTGATCAATATGACTGTTGTCACTATTACCTAATGGATAAAACAAATGTGTGATCATACGCCATTTACCATCTGATTTTGAAACAACCCCCACTGGTGAAACCCTAAGGTTAGCTATGGGCCTATTTTTAAATGGTCCCAAGACCCTGCCGGCTTGAGTCACCTTTGAAATCTTTTGTTGTAACTCAACAGGGTGTTGCAAAGCGGAGATCAGATTTTTACATTCTGCTGGCACCTTTGGACCTGTATAATGTAGTTTAAAGCCTGTTTGAAACCCTTCTAGTAACTCCTTTGCTATTTGAGAAATTGTGTAATCTGATAAACATTTCCTGAGCCTTTTGTTGTTATAGGCATTTTGCCTAGGTCCCATAAACCTGTGACCCCCCTCTACCCCGAAATGTCTGCTGGTTGCTCCCCTGCTGTTGATTGTAACCATGACTTACCTGAGGGTTAGCCTGCTGGTAACTATGATTCCCCCCATATTGATTCATATTCCTAGCCCGGGGTTGAGGAAAACGGGGATGATGGAACCGGGGAAGGGTATTGTATTGACCTGGGCCTCCGCAACACGACACACTGTCATTGAATGGTTACCCTCACATTTTGTACACGGATGCAAATATTGGCATGGCGATTTGAAATAAAGAGTCATTGTAATTTAAATCAAAGCACTTGTTACTTTTGATTCTATCCAAGGGCTGTGTATTGCTAAAACCCGTAGGTCGGGGTTAGAGATTCTGCCTAGATGCTTGAGACATGCATGTTAACCACAGCTCCATACTAATATCTGCCCATGAGCTTGTGGGATCCTGGGCTTTTCTTAGACGAAACTGTTCATCGTAACGCTTCCACCCCCATCCGCCGAACCTAGTCGCACTGTAGAAATATATTTTAACATATCTAGATGCTTAGCCGGGCGAGGAGCCCCATAAACAGAGGCAAACACCAACATTGCATCTGTCCACCTTTCAATGGTATTGATTTTCTCTCTGCTCGCTTCCTTAGCTACTAATTCCCCATGATTGTTAAGCACTAGCTTTTATTCCCTGCACCTCAGTTGTAGCATTCGCTAACATTAACCCAATATCTATGTATTTCCAGATACAATCTTTTGGCGATTGCTCTCTGACACATTCGCTCCCAAAATAGAGTTAAAACATGGAATGAGGAGTGGATCATTCCACATTCCGATTGCACCATCTATACCTTCTTGTGACGGGGAAGGTGGCAACTCTATCAAATTCTCCGGTTGACGTTTCTTCCTGGGGGCCTTCCACCTCGACCATCGGGGCTGGTATTGGGTCCACATGCACGCGTCCATCCTCCTGGTTGGCTGGTCCCCTCCGCTTGGCCGCCCCTCTTGTACCCGCTTGGGTCCCCTGGCCCACGACCTTGTTCTTTCTTTTTGGCATTCTTTGATTTTTCTCAGAAATATTACCAAAAAGAAACTTTCAATTAAAATACATCATTGGGTATTTTAAAACACACTGAAGTTTTAATACACCAGTACAGCATATTACATTGTAATACTAATATATCTGTATATATAAGTGTCCCCTGCATTAAACAGGAATTCGATCAACAACCAGTAGTTATAGGATTACCTTATTCAACGACGCGTACAGCGGCTATTAATATTGTAAACAACATTGAACAAACGGACACCTGTCTACTGGACGGCTCGCTGGTTCTGATCGGCAAAGCGGCCCAGTAATGCATAACCTTTTTAATTACGAATGCATTGATTCATAAGAATAGTAGTTACTATATCATTACTGGTATAGGAGGGGAGGGGGAGGGGGAGGGTACACGACATTTTATCAACCATGTCACAATCAATCGTTGATATTAAACCAAATGTTATTCTGTTACAAATAGGAGGCAACGACCTGGACTCAGTTAATTTCACGGTGGTACAGGGACGTCTGGCTTGGGATTTAAGTTCTTATGCACAGTGGCTAAGGGAAGGTTATTCTGTTCGGCAAGTTGGAGTTATGCAACTTTTTTATCGGACAAAAACTAGATCTATAGCAGTTGATACCTAGATCAGAAGTGTCGATGCAGTAAACAGTGAGATTAAATATTTATGTGAGGAATCTGAGGATTGTTTTTATTGGCGTAACAAGGGCTAAAAACTGCAGCATTCGACTGTCTCAACAAAGAAGGCGTCAATCTTTCCCCCTCAGGGTTACACAAGTACAAATACTCTGTACGTGGGGCGGTGCTTCGGGGCATCCGATTGGTTGACAGGGATAAGGAAGGCCCTCGTGACATTTCCGTATAAGGTTAGTTGTACTATGGCACTATTATTTCACGTTGCGCTTGCGCGAGGTTTGTTTACTTCCGCCAAACTGTTTGCACTTGGTATGACTCCATTCAAGCTTACCGCTCTCTCGTCTAAATAAGTTTGTTCCGTTAGTTTCGCATCGACATTATTTGAATACGGTGGATTGTTTTCATATATTGCCAGTTATGCGACGTTTCATTTAATTATTTACGTCTGTATCCTCTTCATTTGTGAATATATCCCATACAAAGTGAAAGTTGACCTGAAGTTGTTTATAATTAGTTCGGTTTCGTTTTCTACTATCAGTCATTCCTGGGTCAGGGTAACAGACGGGTTTGGTTCGTTTGTCCCATTATCATGTCAAAGCCATCGATTATATGAATGAATCTCGTATGGGTGTATGGCTTATAGATATCTATACATATGTAGTTGAAGCTGTCTGGCTCATTTAGGCTATACTATTCAAAAACAAGTGTTGCAATCTCTCGGGCCCGGTACTACTGCCGACTGTTTCGGTTGTATGAATGTATATTATTGATAACTCTGTTCCTTTTTATGAATGTATAGAGTTGGTAACCATAATAAAATTTGTTTTGTCTCATGGTTATAGTAAAATAATGCCATTATACGTCATGAATTGTTATGGCACTAATTACATTAATGTCATCAACATTGGGTGCAATTGTGTACACTGTGTAGGATTTAATATCCTGGTAAATTGTCTGGCATAAATCATTTGACCAGATGTAGTATCCATTTGAACAATATGTGTTGTGCAGTATCCGGTTTCCAGTGGAACCGTGTCGTCAGTTGTGCAGGATCATGTATCCGGTTGAACAACTATGCATTGCTAGGTGTGCAGGACCTTGTGCCCGGTTTAGAAACGTTGGGTTGTGCAGGACCCTGTGTCCGGTTGAACCTCACATAGTCAGGTATCCGGTTTAACAGCTGTGTGTCAGATGTGTACATGGGTTTACTACCCCGTTAAACACTTTCTGGTACAGGTTGTGCAGGATTCTGATCTCTTGTTTTTCAATTATTTATTGTTGTTTCACATATGTATTTTATGGGAACATAGCTTGCCTTCTTGCGACAACAAATCCTTTCAGAGGTTCAACCTACACTTCCTCGGCAGACTGAGGTGGGGCAACAAACACAGAATGACACAGCTGTCAGGTCGGCCCCTGCGTTTCCTTCTACCAGGGACATAGCTGCAGAGGTACTGCGTCTTATGATGGAGAATGGTGTGGCCTTCGTTCCACAAGCGCCACAGTCATCAAATATGACGGCTTCACTGATGCCATTACCTACACATTCTGCTACGACCGAAGGTTTGGAGCAACCCTCCTCTACCAATCATTCAGTCCACAAATATGCCGGCCTCATGGGATGTGGAGGACAACATGTTTTAGCAACGCCTCTGCCTCCCATCTGCCAACCAGACAACCATCGCCGACCACTAGGACTAATCTACAAACAACTTCACCAGTCCTAGACCCCTACAGTAGTTCAGTAAACCATCCAGCATGCAGTTGCGGGTATTACAGGTACACATACTGGTTTATCCACTACTCATTCTTACAGTAGCATTTCCCGACCTCTGGATGTGCATTTAGATCCAAATTTAAAGCTAAAATTATGTGCAATGAATTTGTTGAATTTGGGGCATTGCGCTCCACCAAATCACACCCAGATAAATTCCAGCTTCAAGTTCATGGAAACAACTTATCTTTAGTGCCGAATACAAAAAAAAAACAAAAAAATCCCACTGAACAATGGGTCCAAGCGTTTCACATTTTCCATTCAGTGTATGTTTAAGCACATCCCACAATAGCTGTCAGTCTCTTGAAATATGCTGACACAATCCAAACATTGTTTTCTGCCGCTATGTATTATGACAATACTTTTCGAAAATGGCTCCAGGTCAACTAAGCCATGCCACGGGATAAGCTCAATAACGAGCTATTTATGCAGGCACTTGGTATTGGATTAAAGTTAGTCCAAAAAGGTTCACAACACATAGCTCAACAGCCCATTCCTGCTAACAACCCCAACATGTTCCAAAAAGGGAAAGTTGGGATTTCATCAAAACAGGAATATGCTCGAGAGGGTCCAACTGCAAGTTCCTCCATGCATGCTCAAAATGTGGAGGACAGCATGGTCCTCAACACTATAGGAAGGGAGCTGACTTCAGTGGAGGGATATAAGCCTCAAAATCCCCAGCCCTCAAACTAACCCCCCAAGCCCCC